ACGGCTGTTGCTTCCCACTGTTTCCCAGCTGGGGTCTCAACATCCCTGGTCTTTGCAGCCGCCATTGACACGGTGCAGCCTTGGGTCGCACACGTCCCGGCCATGGCTGGGATCGAAGAACCAAGAGCTGAGTCCCGGGCACCATATTCTCCTTAGAGAAACTCACTGAAATTGCACCAAAGAGTCTGGAAGATTTTTTTGATAATTTAGATATATATATATATACAATATAATCTAATATATATATATATGTATATATATATAAATTTGAATATATAATATTTTATAATATATATAAATATATATGATATAATATAATATATATGATATAAAATAATATATATGATATAATATAATATATATGATATAAAATAATATATATGATATAATATAATATATATTTATATATTTATATTATTTGCAATATATAATATTATATATGTGAACCCAACCCCGGATGTAAAGTGCCTAGTTGTCTGACCCCTTCTGTTTGTAGGGCTACTGGGGAGCCGCGTTGAGTTTACTCCGCTTGCTCCTGTCACTTTTGGCTCAAGATGGTGAGCTGTGACTCCGGTTTCACTGCAGCTTTGCAAAGCAAGGTTGTGGCGCGACTGAGCAGTAGCCGACCGTGCGACAAAGGGTGACAAAAGGTGATCTCTGGGCCGGTGAGGTGAGACTGGCGGGACCCCAACCCTTTGGTTCGCATAATATATATATATATATATCATATAATATAATATAAATATATATCATATAATATATATATATATATCATATAATATAAATATATATAATATGATATAATATAAATATATATATATATATTATATAATATATATATATATATTATATATATATGTCTAAATCGACAAGTCCAGGCAGTTTTGAAACAAAAAATCTCTTGACGTCTCTGCCAGGGTTCATCCTTGTAGAACACCTGTCCTGGCCAAGCATCAGGTTGTGAGTTCAATTCAACTCAATGAAATGTTTAAGGGTCCTGATCCCAGCCGGAAGAAACGAGACTTCGCCTTGGATATTTTTCACACATTAAATATGATGAAATGCTTTGAGACTCTGAAGATCAAAAAAAGGCCATGCCATCCAAGATCGTTCAAATATACCTTCATTTGTTCCATTTTGCTCCAATGTTTTCTCTAAGACTCTAAGCATCTCGAAGCTTTAAGGCCAGGACATTGAGTTCGTGTCTTCTCAATGTGGTTGGTGGAGTTGCCACTGGCTCCGTCGTGGTTGGCAATGTCACTGGCGTCACCGGTACAGGTGTGACCGGCTCCGGCAGTGGGGCCATGGTCGGGGTAGCTGCCACGCCGGCTGCAGCTGATGCAGCAGTTGCAGCAGCAGCTGCTGCGCTGGCTGCAGCAGTTGCTGCTGCTGTGGCCGCCGTGTGATTGGAGGCATTGGGTGCCAAAGTGGGTGCCAAAGTGGTCAGCGATGGGAGAGCCACGGTGGGCAGTGCTGCCGACACATTGGGTGTTACCACCTCAGTGAATGGAAGCCTAACTTAATTTGGAATGCTCTTAGGTAAACCTTCTTGGAACATCTTGGAAGCATTGCTTTCGTGATCAACTGACGCTTGGATTTTGAAAGATCGGCAAAATCGAGGCAGAGACTCCAGGCAAAGGCACCGCAATCTGATTTGCCCAGAAAATGAGATCATCTCAAAATAGGAAAAAATGGGAAGTTCGAAACTCAAAATCCATAGAAGTGATGCTCAAAATTCATCAAATTCCTATTTCTCCATTTTTGGAACATGGTAACATGTTGTTTGTCCATATTTGTCCTATTCCAAAAAGGCTTTCCCGTGGCCTGGGGCAGAAGAGTCGATGTGAATGTTGTGCTTCCAGTCAGGTCCTCCGAGTGGCAATCGAAGTAGGAAATATGAATTTGGAAATCTATAGAATACAGTCTGAATACAGTGAATAGGATGTGAATAGGATGTGAATAGGATGTGAATAGGATGTGAATAGGATGTGAATAGGATGTGAAATGGTAAGATATGGTAAGATATTATGGCAAGATATAATTCAGCATTTATCATATATTTATCAAACATTTGAAAGATCAGATCCCAAAGAACCGACTTCAATTTAATAGACGATGCCGCAATGCCGCAATGCCGCAGGATGAATGCCGCAGGATGAATGACGCAGGATGAATGCCGGGTGGTCTGAATACTGTGAATAGGATGTGAATAGGATGTGAATAGGATGTGAATAGGATGTGAATAGGATGTGAAATGATAAGATATGGCAAGATAGAATTCAGCATTTATTATATATTTATCATATATTTAATTTGAAAGATCAGATCCCAAAGAACCGACTTCAATTTAATAGACGATGCCGCAATGCCGCAATGCCGCAGGATGAATGCCGCAGGATGAATGCCGCAGGATGAATGCCGCAGGATGAATGCCGGGTGGTCTGAATACTGTGAATAGGATGTGAATAGGATGTGAATAGGATGTGAATAGGATGTGAAATGGTAAGATATGGCAAGATAGAATGCAGCATTTATTATATATTTATCATATATTTAATTTGAAAGATCAGATCCAAAAGAATCGACTTTAATAGACAATGCCGCAATGCCGCAATGAATGAATGCCGGGTGGTCCTGAGGCACCTCGCAAAGACGTTGGATGTACTCCCCAGCCACCACCTGGATGAATCCGTTTCGATCTATGGTTACCAAAGTTGACATAGATCTAAACTGGATATCTTCATGGCCGTTACATGGCCTGGTGCCATCCTGGGCTGCCAACCAAGGCAGCAGCTTCCGTGTTGCTGATGAAGTCCTTCGAGCTGGGCCTTGGCGATCTTGGCGATAATGACACCAGGGAGATATCTCAGTGACATGGGGGCATGGGGGTGTGCGAGTAAGCCTTAGTAAGCAACTTGGGACGCGTTTGACCAGCGCCAAAGGAAAATCGTGTTCTTACAAACAAAACATTGGTATAGTTTGACCATGTTTGACCATGTTTGACCCACAAAACAGCAGGAAAAAGGATCTCTCTCTTGATTTTTGTTTGACTTGGCATGGTTCCCACTCAATTTTGGGTGGTGATAGTCAGTGATGGTATCTCTTCTCCAACTATGACACGAAACAGCTAAGGCTGGGGCGGATATGTCAAACTCCCCCTCAATGGGTCGTCAAACCAACAGCCATCCTGTACAGCGATCAACGGAACGACAACCGAGTCGTTCTGAAAAATCTGAATCACCGTGAAAGCTCCGGAAAAATCCTTGATTTGTTCATATGATTCATATGTTTTCCAGGTCCAGCTGCCTCCTCAACTACCTCAACTCTCAACTTTCGGTACGTTTTGACAAATTTTGGGCATCTGACTCCAGTGGAGAATCTCCAGGCATGACATCCGATGTTCGACAGGCAGGTGTGATTGCCTTGGCCAACTCACCACTAAAATTTCATATGATCCCACTGCAGTAGCCCAAGTTTCCAAAATGTTCCAAAGGTGATCTGGAAATATCTGGAACATTTTGGAAAATTGTGGATGAATGTTCCAAGTTTCCCCAATGAATAAGGATGAAAATTTTGAATTGGTGGGCTGCAAACCCTCACACGATGTCCCAAGTTTCAGCCCCAAGCACATCTTCACTGCCTGCAAAAAGCACAAAGACCACGATGTCACGATGTTACGATGCCAATGTCGTTCCCCTTTTAGCCGTTCTGGTCCAAGACCAGGGCGTGATCCCCGGATCTCCCTAGTCACCAACGTTCACGATCGTGGGGGCTGTTACGAACAGGTGGGTTCAACCAATGGTGGCATTGCTTTTCTTTTTGTTCTGGTATCCTCCTCAATGTTCAGCTTTTGGAAACCACCTTTTCCAATTAGCTTTCTTCCCCCCGGGGTACATAGTTTGCCTTTTGCCGCGTTTGCGGTGCAGTCGCGGGCCATGGATTCCTGCCTCAATGACCATTCTCCGGAATCGCAAACCTACATGGCTAGAATCTTTGTGAAAGGCATTCCAGGTACCCGGATGATCAGTGCGGATGCGTCCTGGTCCATTGAGGAGGTCAAAGAGAATCTTCACTGCAAAGGTGATGTCAGACTTGCCACACATAGCCGTCAGCTTGCTCCTCATGAATTGATCCGGGATGTGTACCCGGGTGGTTGTGGTCACCTCCTTGTGCTACCTCGCTTGCGGGGCGGTGGGAAGTTTGCTACTTGGGAAAGCACGGCAGCCCGTCAAGGCCTTCGAGTTGCAGACTTGGATGATTTGATCTTTTCCTTCTTGGGAAGGTGAATGCCGAATGGAGCATTGGCCAATTTCCATGGTTGAGGAGTCTTCTTGTGGCATCTCTTTTGCTACAATTGCATCTGCAGAGAAGGTTTCGGATGTGAGGACAGTCGGTCCTCTTATCCTGGTCATCAAGGGCTTTGACAATGAGAGGCTGGCAAAAATGGGTTTTGGGCCAGAAAGGCTCATTTGCACAAATATCGGAGTTCGAGATGAAGTAGCAAAGACCACTGAACTTAGAGCAGTTACTTTGGTCAACATGAGTGCTTCAGAAGATGACTTCGTTGAATTGCCAAAAGCCGACCATCTGCTCAGCGTTCAAACTGTGAACAGAATGCCGGTTTTTGTAGAGTCGCGACAGTCTGATGCAACTTCGAAAGACTGGACTGACCTCAGCAGCAGTGAGGCTTTTGAGGGATACGTCCGTATTTTGCTCCAAAAATGTGGCATGTGCGAGCAGACGGTTCGCTACAAGCCTTTCTCCCGGCAAGGCTATTGGTGCCAGCGTCTACAGATTCCAGCCGCTCACCGTGATCAACTTTATCGCATGTCAGGCCTCTCAAGTGTCCAGATCCGCGCAGTTCGTTCAATGACGGATCCTGCGGAAAGTGGGCTTGAAGTGTTGCGGATTGATGTTGACAAGACATTGGCTGTCCTGGCCGAAGAGTGCAAATTGAGTGGTGCTCTTGGATTTTTCCGGTCTCAAGGCAAGACATTCTTCCGGACATCAGATCCGACCATCGCTGCAGCAAGAAAGTTCTTCTATCCGGATGATGAAAGGTTCACCGTCCAGAACATTGGCATCAAGATGAAGCATTTCTATGTGGTAGAGGGTTTTCCCTTGGGGGTGGCTATCCGGGAGGTGACCGAAGCTTTGGAAAGCATCGGTTGGATAGCCATCCCGGTTCGCATCACGAACCTCCGACAATTGTCCAGGGTTCTTGCGGCAGGGGCAGACCCGCCTGCCAAATTGAAGTATTCAACCAGCATTGGCATGCTCCATTTGACTTTGGCCGAGAAGCCGACTCCAACTCAGAAGGGAAGTGCCGTCATTGCTCCTACTCCGTCCCGGCCGCGGTCATTTCAGCAGACCCCTGCCAGCAAGGAATGGCCCAAGAGGGAGAGAGTTGCTCCACCGCCCATATCTACACCTTCCACGGTGTCCTCATCTTCAGGACAAGTCAGCCAGAATGCTCCATCAACCAGCCTGGCCACACGGGTCACGCAGCTCGAAGCCCAACTTGGCACAGTTCAGTCAGATGTGAAAGGGCTCCGTACCAGCCAGGAGATGCTCGAAAAGAACCTTGTGGACCTTGGCCATCGCCAAGATCGGGGATTCACAGACTTGATGGCAGCCATCCAGGCCTTGAGCGCAGAGTCCTCTTCATCTCAGAAGGCATCACCGGCAAGAAAGAGCTTGAAGAAGTGATGGGTTCTTGTACGAAACCGGCATTTGAGGCGCATGTGCCATGTCCGCTGGCGGCTTTCGATGCATTTCCAGCGTTGCTGAGCATGTGTAAAAGATTGTCGGTGGTTATTTTGTTTTTTCTGCTTCACGGCGGTGCTTGGTATGTTTTGTGGTTGATGTGTTGTTTGAACCTAGCTGGCTGGATGTGTGTCAAGCCTAGGAACTGCATCTGGGCAGCGTCTGTGATCCATTTGCATCTTCTGAAAAAGCCATCCTTGGTTGTCCTTTCTAAGAGGGAGGTCCCCCGAGGTAAGAGGAGTTCTGTTAGTGCCAAAAAAGTCCGCAGACTTCTCCGGGCAAATCGGATCAAATTAAGATGCTGCCTCGTTAGATTGGGACTGGCGGGGTTAATTCATAATTCTTTTTCACCCAGCACTTTCAACGCCTTCTGGTGCAACGATGCTATGTGCACTGGAAATGCAGGGGCGGGAAGTCAAATTAATCACATTTCATTGCAGAGATCGCGAAACGCTTCACTAAGCGTATGGTCTCTCAGCGAAAGCAGGAAATGTTGCATTTGTTTCTTTGATTTGAATTATGTCCATTGTGTGTCGTCCTCTGTGGTCCTTTGGTCTCTTTTCTCTCCGTGCAAAGGTTATCCCGGTGAAGGCCCTCTTTGCTTTGGTTCTGCTAATGTTACTTCTTTGGGTAAGAATGTGAAAAGTGTTGTTGCAATATGTGCTGACGAAACCACTCCCGATTTCATGTGTCTCCAAGAGACACGACTTCACCCTCTCAAAAGCAAGAATCTTGTATCCAAATTGCGAACGCAAGGCTTTACAGTTTTGATTGGCCCTCAGCCGGTCATTAAGAGGACTGTTAGCCGGCTTCATGCACCTTGCCGACGTCAAACACATGGGGGGATCGCGATCCTGGCCCGCAATACTGTAGCTTTGCAACCGCTCTTAATTCCTCAAGATTTTGGCTTGGAAAAAGCTGCGCAGGCATGTACTTGTACAGCTGGTTCTTTCACTTGTCGAATCATCAACGTATACCTACCCTCCGGTCAACGCCATGTTTCAAAGAGGTCTGAGATTATGACTCAGGTATTTCTGTTTGCGGCTAGTCTCGGTGATGGTCCCACTTTTATTTGTGGTGATTTTAACTCTAGCCCCTCAGCCAACCAAGCTATTTCAGAGGCGATTCGTACCGGAGAGTGGGTTGATGTCATTGCAGATGAGTATGCTGCTGCCAACCTTCCACCTCCATTCACGTTTCAGAGGGGAAAAGGGAGGCGGCGGTGTATGTCCCGTATTGATTATGTTCTTGCCAATAGTGATGGCTGCACTTTCTTCAAGAAAAGTTGGATTCAACAAAAATCCGGCCTTCCTGATCATTGCCCGGTTGGGCTTCATGTGGTGATTCCTAGCACTGTCGACAAAGCTTTTACAATTCCTTCCAGTTCAAGACGTATTTTCCCACCAAAACCTAGCTGCCTTGACCAATGGGCCCAAAGGGATTCCATATGTGAACCTATACTCCGTGAGTTTGCCCCGAAAGTGGCAGAAAGTGCCGAATCCTTAGATGTGGAGCTTACTTGGAGCTTGGCATGCCAGGCTGTATCATCGATGTTAGATGCTATTTCCGGAAGCGCTGGTGTTCAGAAAGGTTTTTTCCCCAGGTTTCAGGTCACCCCTGTTTGTAAATAAGCCCAAAGAAGTCGCGCTTCGAACAAAGCGAATTGCTCGCATCTCTGCTCTGTTCCGGGAAATGATCAGAAAGGCTTCTGTTTTTGAGTCCAATATTTCCTTTGCTTGGCGAAATTCTTATAATCAAACCCTTCATAAGTTGGAGCGTGAACTCCAGGCGGTTTGCTTTCCTTTCCCTGAGGGTTTCTTGTCAGAACGAAAGAATTTTTCAAGTGATTTCCAAACCTTCCAAGATTGGGATCAGAAGTACGACCAGAAAGTCAAAGCTTCAGGGCTGAGGGCCTGGCGAAAGAAGCTGCGTATTTCAAACGCAGCCGACAAAAAGTTGGTACACAGGTGGTTGAAAGGTTCTTTCGCTACAGTGCCGCGACTGATGCAGCGAAGTGACGGTTCCTTGTCCGGATCGGTATCTGAAATGCTGGAATCTGTTTCAGACCATATGGAAAGTGTATACAATCAACACATGGAATGGGATACCCCTTCCCAGATTGAATATTTTCGCGAGAAGTATCGGGATTCAATTTCTCAAACGTTCTGCGAGGCTAGTGTTCCCAGTTTGAATGAGCAAGATTTTTGGGATTTGTGTCAAAGCAAGTCCCCTACCAAGGCTTCCGGTCTTGACATGTGGTCATATCGGGAACTGCAGCAACTTCCTGTGTCAGCTTGGCAGCTCTTTGTCCTTGTATGCAAACTAGTTGAAGCTGTAGGTGAATGGCCGAACATTGTAAAGTGTATCACTGTGACATGTTTGCCTAAAAAGGACGGACCTGTTTTGAACCCGAATCAGATTCGCGCCATTGGTGTCAGCAGTGTTGTCTATTCTTTGTGGTCTTCCCTCAGATTTAGACATTTATCGACATGGATGAATTCAATCGCCCCATCATGCCTTCTAGGAGGGATACCCGGGCGGAGTGCTGATTCCCATGAGATCGACTTGTCCCTTGAATTTCATGAACATGACCAGAATCCTGATCCCATCGCCATATTTTTAGATCGTGCAAAATGTTTTGACATGTTGGTACCTGATTTTGCTGTTCAGATAGCTTGTGACATTGGGCTTCCCCTTAACGTAGCGAGGGCTTTGACTGGTTTTTATCGGGGCCAAATCAAGATATTCAAGATTGGACGATTTTATGGGCGGAAGGTGTTTTCCAAAAACAGTGCCATTCAAGGTTGTTCTATGTCAATTTTAATGGTAAATACGTTCTATTCCATTATGACCAGGGCCATGACCAACCAGTTTCATCATGTCTCCATTGCGACCTTTATTGATGATGCAAAAATATGGGGTTCCTTCCACTATGTTGATGAAATTGCTGGAGCGTTTGAATTTGTGCGGCAATTTGATAAAGACATTGGTCAACAACTCAACCCCCAGAAAACTGAAATCCTGGCTAGAAGGGTCCTCAAAGGAAAGCTGTTGAAGCAGAAAATCCAACTCCCAGTTCAGGTTTCTTCCCAGGTTAAATCACTAGGACGTGTTCAACAGATGAATAAGTGCCGCAACGCTACAATGCAATCAAACCGTGTAGAAAAGGCGAGCGACTGTCTTAAAAAGATTCGACAGTTGCCACTGTCCCCTCCCCAGAAGTCTGTGTACATTCATGCACATGCCCACTCCAAATGGGTGTTCGGTAGTGAAACACAGGGCATCCCCAAGAAAGATCTTCAAAAATTGCGTACGCAAGTGTGTGATATTTTTGACCCCTCATCTCACAACATGCGGTCACCTTTTGCTGTCATGGCTACATTGGAGGATGTATTTCTGGATCCGTTTGCAAAGTGGGCATGTCATGTCTTGAACCATGCTCGCAAACTCGTCAAATTCCACCCAAATATTGCAAAAAGGGCGTTAGGAGCTGTTCTCAGAGATCCCACGCCAAAATCAGGAGCCTGTCATGGTTTTTCAAATGTGCTGTCGTATATATTGTCTGAGTTGAATTGGGCAGTTATATCACCTGATGATTTCACAGTATCCACACCTCATGGGTCATTCCCCTTCAGCGCATGGAGCGACCAATATTTTTCTGGTATTGTCGCTTCTTCTGTTAGAACTTATCTTTTCAAGCAGCAGCCGGTGCGCCAAGAAACATGCAGGATTCCTGAAGGCCACTTGCTAGACATTTCACTCACGAGGTTCTTGTTTGATCAAAAGATGAGGAGCGATGAAGAGTTTGATTTCCTCAAGCCTCATGTTGACAAAATCCCCCGAAGTTGGGCCTACAGTAAGAACCTGCTGCGGATGGCACAGACGGGCCGTGTTTTCACTTCCTCTCGGCTTCATGCTGCTGGCTTGGCCCCGGATAATTTGTGCATCTCGTGTGGGGAAAAGGAGACTGTGAGGCATTTGTTTTGTGATTGCCCGGCTTATTCCAGAACGAGGCCTGCGCCAGTCGAGCCTGGTCATGACGTCACTATGTTGACAGGGGTTGTGTTTTCTCCCCCTTTTCAGTTCGAATCATGTTGTCTCACGTGCCCCGAGCGACCGGGTGGGCCTTTTTTCCCGACTGAGATTGTTTTTATTGATGGGTCTTGTTACAAAAGCAATTGGCACCAGGTTGCCACGGCTGCGTCAGCATATTTTCTTTCCACGGAATGCAATTTTGCGTGCCTCCTCCCCACGCAAGATTGCACGAGCCAGAGGTCGGAAATTTTTGCAGCAGCATTGGCGTTGTCACATTCCAGTGGTCCTATCACCATTGCTAGTGATTGTTTGACGGTTGTTCGAATTTTCAAAAGGCTTCAAGATGCTGATTTTTCTCGCGAATGGATTCACAAGTTGGACAACTGGGATTGCTGGAATTTGGTTTGCTCCGTTGCGAAATCTCGTCCTGGTAGGGTGCATATCATAAAAGTAAAGGCCCATTGTACGGCAAAGTCTAGTCAGGATCCATATCTTACGTATGGAAATAGCATGGTGAATGCAGCCGCTAGGGCTGTAGCTAGAGATGCGTTTAGAGCCAAGCTCGAACCTTACCGTAAGTTGATCACAGTGGCTGTGTCATGGCAATGCCATATCATTGCCACGCTGGGCGAACGATGTGCGTGCCAATTTTTGTGCCCGTCAGACCAACCTCCGAGTGATCCAACCCCTTCACACCTTTTCCCTGAGCAGTGTAACAGTGAATTCTTGACCAAGTGTGAAAACGGGACCGTTCGCCCGAATGACTTCGACAGACTCTGGGACGTTTATCAAACTTTTCGGGATTCTTTCACCTCTGTCATTGTTCAACCCCATGTCTTTCCTCAGCTGGACCAGCGGAATGCTAGGTCTAGGTTGCAGAATTATTCTGGTGAGTACTTCCAGGCTGTGTCTAGGTACACCCAGGATGTCTGTGTAGAGTTTCTGGTCAATCAGCAAGGGCCCAAAGTTCCATGGGTCTTGGTGTTTTTTGACTTTGTGGGTTGTTATCCTGATTTACCCGAGTGGGTTGACGGCAAGAAACTTCAACATTTTTTGAATCAATTCAAGACCCGTTTTCGCCGTTTCTGCAAAGGAAAATTCACTTCATATCATCATTGCATGAATCTCCGCGACCTCTATTTTGGGAGGATGAGTGGTTTTGTTGGGTTGTTCAAACCCGTCTCTATTCACAAAGTCACTTTCCTGAGTGTTCATTCTTCTGCTCAAATTGGCTATTCAGGTGGGTCTCCCTCTGGTAGAGGTCCTGGTGTGTCCTGTCGGTCCATTGATATTCCCTTCTCTGTCCTCAGATCATTTCCTGCTTTCGCTGATTAATTGTGCTTTCGTTGCCTTGCTGAGTTTCGCGCGCGGCACTCAGAGTATCAGGCTGCAAAAATGTCGTTCCCCTTTTTTACTCTTCATATATATATATATAATCGAAGGAAGTTTAGAAGTCAAACTTCCGACAATATGGACAGATGAAAAGCAGAGCAGGGCAGAGGCAGAGAGAAGAGAAAGATTAGAAGAGAGATGATCAGAAGAGAAAGAGTCAGAAGAAAGAAGATGCAGATGCGCGAAAAGGTAGGAAAGTCGCGAAACACTCTGTTTTTCCAATGATTTGTGGCCCCGGAGGGTCGAAAAGTAGGCTCGCTAAAGCGGCGGGTGCGGAGCCAGATGAGAGATGAAAATTTGCACGCCGTTGTGGCGCGAAGAACATTTTGAAGTCAAAATGTACAAAAACACACCATTCTCGGACCACTTTTGGAAGTTGAGATGTCGAAAAAGTGCACGCCTTTGTGGCGGGAAGCACATTTCGAAGTCAAAATGTACAAAACACACCATTGTCGGACCACTTTTGGAAGTTGAGATGTCGAAAAAGTGCACGCCGTTGTGGCGCGAAGAACATTTTGAAGTCAAAATGTACAAAAACACACCATTCTCGGACCACTTTTGGAAGTTGAGATGTCGAAAAAGTGCACGCCTTTGTGGCGGGAAGCACATTTCGAAGTCAAAATGTACAAAACACACCAGCGTCGGACCACTTTTGGAAGTTGAGATGTCGAAAAAGTGCACGCCGTTGTGGCGCGAAGCACATTTCGAAGTCAAAATGTACAAAACACCACATGTTCGCGCCACTTTTGGAGGCTCGGATGTCGAAAAAGTGTACGCCGTTGTGGCGCGAAGCACATTTCGAAGTGAAAATGTACAAAACACTAGGGGTTCGGACCACTTTTGGAGGTTCAGATGTCGCTTCGCCGCTTCGCTTCACTACACTACACTACGTCACATTACACCACACTCCACTATACTACACTACATTACACTACACTACACTCCACAACACTACAACTAAAACTACACAACTAGACTACACTCCATTACACTCCACTACATTAAATTTCACTACACTACATTACACTACACTACGCTCCACTACACTACACTACATTAAATTACACTACACTCCACTACACTACATTACACTACACTACGCGCCACAACACTACAACTACAACTACGACTACACAACTACGCTCCACTACACGAAATTACACTACACTACACTACATTACACTACACTACATTCCACTACACTCCACTACACTACACTACATTACACTACACTACAATACACTGAATGACACTGCACCACAGATAGACAGGTAGACAGATAGACAGACAGACAGAGAGAGATATCGATAGATAGATAGATACATAGAAAATAGATAGGTAGGTAGGTAGATAGTCAGAGAAAGAGATAGAAAGAGTGAGAGAGATCAAGCACCTTTCAGTCCATCAGTGGCTTCGCTCTGCCATCCCTGATTCACAACAACCAACCTCTCCTATAGGTTTCCTGTTTTTGAAACTTCCGCCACCGCCTTGTGCGGTGCTACTGGTATCATATTATTTTCATTCATTTTTTCATTCAATATCATTCAATTGCAATTCATGTACGCTGTCTTTCTGTGATTCAATCATGCCACGCATCTTTGCACGGCCTCATTCACATCAGAAAAGAAGCTGCCCTCGAAGGCATATTGGAGTCCTGTGACCTGGCAAGTTCCAAGTTCTTCAGATTTTGCATTGAGACCCTTCTGAAACCTGGTGACATGTCTTGCCATGACCTCACCCCCTCAGCCCCTCAGCCCCTCAGCCCCTCAGCCCAGCCTCGTATCCCCTTAGATCTTTCAGCACCTGCGACACAAAAGTTACAAGGAATTGGCACAATCAAAAGGATGTAAATTGATGCAAGTAATCAACCACGATGGAGGATACAACCAAAGATATACCAAAGAAAATCCTCTGTCGCGGAATGAATCGTGGACAAGGGATGAACAACCTGCAGCCTGCTGAAAGACCCATTTGGCACACTGAAGACATTGACGGCATGGTATGGCATGGTATGGCATGGTGCTGAATCTGCACTGCCGCACCCGATAGTGCCCATGCATGAATCGTTTCGCTTGCACCACATTCACCTATCACGGGGCGTGGGCAAAGGGCCAGGGTCATCGACACCAAAACGACCGAAACATGCTGGACCCTGTGACCATCTCTGACTGAACAAAGACCTGTGCATCATCTCGAAAACAATCATAGCCAGTGCCCTGCCAGCATTGCAGCCTTGGCAAACAGACCAATTTTACAAATATTGCAGTCAATTTCCGCAGTCAAGCCCTTGTTCAACTTGCTGGTAAATGGGTATTTCAATGATCAATTCTGACTTTGAATACTGAATACTCTTTGAATATTTTGAACCGAATCAACATGTTTTTAACCGTTTTAACCGTGACAACAACGGCATAACGGCATACAACGGCCGTGGCCATCCTCAGATTCCAACAGACCACCTTCAGTTCGAACCTCTTGAAAGCTGGCGCAGGACACATTGCCCCGGCAGCTCCTCGGTGGCACTCGAGGCACTCGAGGCACTCGAGGCACTCCACGCGTGCAGTGTGACTATCAACAGATTGGATGCCCCACAAGCCCAGAAAATATGCCAAGAAATGGATTCTTTGAATTGTTTTAAAAAATGTTTGGATTGTTTTATCAGTCGTTTTCCAACATTTTTTAACCTGTTGTTGATATCATTTTGAGACTTGAATCCAGTGGGGACAGGCTGAGGCCGGGGCGATTCGCAATCCTCCGTCCTGGCCGTTGCATGTTCCGTTCAGTGCTGTAGCCCGTTACCACTGCTGTCACTTCCAAATCTTCCAAGTCAGTGGATTCAGTGGCAAGACTCGGCAAGACATGCTGTAGATGACATGGGTAAGTCAGTTCTCGCCAAGCCAAGGCCTCATTGGAATGGATGCAACATGATGCAAGTGGCAAATCACCGGAAAAATACAAAGGATTTGGTGGCAACTATCATCCTTCAAATTCACAGAAACTTTGGACATCAAGTGACTTAACGTGACTTAACATTGGCAAGTTTGCTTTTTTGCGGCTGTGGCTTTAAAGTGGTTAAGCTGTACACATTTCCCTGGCCATCCGGTTGCAGTGTCCTCACAGGACACAGAGCCGCAGCCAGCTACGAGATCTACGAGCAGAATGAATGGATTATGACTGAAATTTTATTATTATATTGTATATTAAATAAAATGTTATAAATAATAGCTGCTATTTAATATTTTAAATGACTGCAGAATTCCAAGAATTATCAAATGCTTCGAGGTTTCATGAGGTTTAAAATGGTTTAAAGATATCCCTCGTGATGCAGGAAGTTGTGTGCACCTCCAAAGTCTCTACAGGCAAACCTTTGCACAGTGCCAGTTCTCCATTCTGGCGCGATGCGGCGACGCCAGGCCGATCTCACAATTTTCCCATACGGTGGATAGCACACAAATAAATACAAATATTTCAAATAACAAATCATTTACTGATACTATCTGATACTACTCAATATTGTCCATCTTTTCATATCTTTTCATATATCTCAATATTGTCAATATTCGGATCCGTGCCAAATTCTGCCGGAGAGACCGGCAAATGAGGCCAGCACTGCAAGGGCACTGGAACCTGCAAGCATCAACAATAACCAGAAACAAGCTGGTAGGTCTCGAGGGAGAAAAGTTAAAAATGACTTTGTGTCTCAAAAAACACGGCGCAGCAGCTCAGTCTTAGGGTCAATATCGAGTGTTCAGCATTTGATTTCACGATTTGCCGAACCATACGCTGCTGAACTGAACAAAAGCCAAGCTACCATGCCATCTGCAAAGTCTGAAGCTGACTGCAAGGCCGTGTCACCTGTCAACACGAGGCAAAGGGTGTGAGAACAAGATCTGACCTGATTGGCATTTGTTGATGTCTTGTATCGATACTGTACACACTGTACACCCATGCGCAACAACACAAGAGATTGCACCCGAGATGGCAGTGTTCAAATTACATCAAATTACCCAGATCCGACCCGGGAGAACCTGGAAAGTCAGAAGACGGTGACAAGGCGCATGCAGGCGAAGCCTCAAAAAGACATCATCAAACCAGAAAACTTCGGTCCAAACATCTATGTGATGTCTTTATATTGTATACACGCATTATCCGTCATTATCAAATGCACATCAACGTTATCACAGGAGCAGGATTGTTGGCATCCCGTCATCAACCTGTAGCCAAACAGTACAGTATCATATCCAGAAATGCTCAGCTGCAAAAAATGTCTGTTAAACTCCACGCGGTCCATCCCAGTTTAGAATCGTACCGACAGACCAGTGCCGAACTGTCCAGCCACCTTGGTTGTCAAGGTGCAGCCAGTCCCTCACCAAAAATATTGATCACTTACTTAAGTGAATCATGGTTCATCGTTTCAAAGCCACTCATGGAAAATATATGGAAAATGAAAAATGAAACTGCCAACGGAAACAAAAACTCCCACCCTTCAGCATTTCTGAGGTCCTGTCTGCACACTTTGCAGGGCCCGACACAAAACTGGCCGCGGTTGGTCGACGCATAAAGATCATAGAATTAGCGTCACTTTTTTTCTGATCGTCAAAAGCTGACACAAAACGAACCAAAACGATTGCAGCGCCTTACAGCAGAGCTACGAGCGGGTACTTGCATTTTTGAGCCCAACCAGCAATCCTGGCCGACTCTGCGGTGTGGAGTCGGACTTTGCTCCCTTCGAAGCTTGAAGCAACTCTGGAAATTCGGTTCGTAGCACTGCTGTACACAATCAAGAATCATGGACGGATGTAGTCACACTAGTCTCACTCTAGTTCTCAGGAAAGACGTTGAAAGGACTAGTTTGATGTAAAAAAAAAATTGCTTTGTCAAGGCTCAACTCTGCTGTGCCTTCCATGCAGGCTGAAAACCAAAGGTCTCGCAATGCGGGGTGTTCTGGCACGACAAACCCGCTATCCACGAAGTAGTCACTGGTATCAACAGGTTGAAGGACAGAGATCCAAGAAGCCAAAGAAACATAAAAGAAACATAAAGAAAGCAATAGAAGCCAGCAAGACAACACAAATCTGCTGACAGTGCAAAGCATCTGTGGCATTCACCTCGGTGATCAACCGATGGGCAAATGGAAAGAATCCTTCAGAGATTTCAGAGTTTTGAGGACTCGACCGGATTGGGGGTGCCCCAAATGGCATCTGAAATCCTTGGAAGTGTGTGAATCCAAACCCAAATGACCTTACTTTGATGATTCGATGAAATTGGCATGTAAGTGTTACACAAGTATCAAGAATCTGGAAGTTCCTGGCTGTTCATAGTTCATACATGTTCAATCATGTTCATACTATTTGCCAGCCAATCGGTGAAGTTCCTGGGGTGTCAGATCTCAACTACACTATTCCGAAGCTGAGTGAAAGTCTTCCAGCCATAGAGAAAGCAGCCTCGAAAACCACAATACTCAACAAACATCGACAAACTAGGTGGTTGATCAGTGATGAAACAACAACCTGACGAGTCTGACGAGTCTGACGAGTCTGTATCCGATGCGGCGTCTGTATGCCAGGATGGCGCCAATGCTCGAAGAGAATCACACAAGTCACATCGAGTCATATCGAGTCATCGTCACATCCCAAGGTTGTGACCGAGTGGCACCTCCACAGGGGTACTACGGCACTACGGCTACTGTCAGATCTCTCAAGTTACAGGATGTGGATTTGAGCGGTGAGATGGTGCGAAACATGGTGCCCAATGATGCCCCGTTGGAGTTCAAGGATTGGTCCGGAGTCTAGTCTCCAACGGTCTCGATAAATTTCTGCGATTTCCAAGGCCAAAATCCCGCCGCCTCTGCTGCTTCTGTACAAAGGACCTCAAACAAGATCTCAATCGTGTTGGGATGGATCAAGAATCGTGCCAAAAAGACTCGAAATTCAATACGTGTCAATACGTATTATTGCAAAACGTATCAATTCGTAAAATGTGTCAAAGCAGGAACAAAACCTGGACCCACAAGTTGATCAATGCAAACCATGTCTGGGGCCGGGGCCGCCGCCAGCGCACAGAATTTCCAGGCCATGACCAGTGGTCAGGGCCTGACAGATTCGAGCATTCCATCACCGGATAAGTCAAAATTTAGCATCCCAAGATTTGATGGTACCAAAAAACAACGAAAATCATCCCAAAAAAAAAACTGGCCCCATTCTTTGGTACCGTATTCTTTCACATGTTTAGATTTGAATGCGTCCTTTTCGGGGCATTGAATGTTTCGACCAAGTTTATTTGATATGGTGAACAATGGTGAACAATGGTGAACAATGGTGAACATTTCTAAAGGTTCTTTTTTCATCCTGGAATCCAGGAGTATATAGCCATATAGCCTTTAAATTGGACCAACCCCAAGAAGAACATCATCCAAAGATTGAATCGGGTGATTTTCTGTCTACAGGATGACACATGGTTTCAATTTCATAAATTTCTTCATCCAAATCAGTCCACCCAGTTTCTGCCTCAGCCCCTGCGCTCCCTTTCGCGCTCCCCCGCTGAGCCAATGCAGTTGCAGATGTTCATTCCCGATCCAAAACAATCCAAAACACAGAAAGGATATCCACCAAAATTCCGCCTCTGACATCAAATATAAAATTTTAGCTGTGTTGTCTACGGTCAAAGGAGTGAAAACAATATGTAGAGTGACAGCACTGCTGTGTTGTTCCATATTCACCTGCAGCACTTCTGGCCAAAAACCAATGTCCACTGAGAAGATCTGAGAAGTAATAGATTCAGCCCAAGGGGGCCCTCTGTTCGCAACTTTTCCACCTCTCTGTCTCCGGCATTATCCGGCGCCGCTCAGCTGATCAAGCCCTTGCCTGGCCAATGGGGGGTCGAATCCAACTCCTCAAGTCTGGGAACCCTTCTGTGGAGTGCGGATGAGTGCGGATGAGTGCCGATGAGTGTGGAAAAACGGCGCTTCATCCCCAATCTCTGCAGAGTTTGGCGTTGTTGCAGACGCTGGTACATCACTGTTGCTTCCTTAGGAGCATAAAACGCAACGGGAAATTAGCCATGCAATTGGATATGACTTGGGGGAAAACCAAGGGTACCTGGTACCTCAAGCATTGAACTTTGAAGCCAGGCATGAGGAAATTGAAACCGAGAATTCCATGCTTTGAAGGTTCGCAACGATACAGGATGCTGCTAACCAAAGCATCTTGACACAGTGGGGCGTGTGAAACCAACCCTATAAATTCAGCATTGAAGTTGCCCCGATGTAACTGATCGGGGTTTCTAAACTTGGCAACTTCAACAACATCCTGCGCTCGCTGTCATGTCCTCTAATCTGGGTTTAAATATTGAGGGATCCAAATCGAAGAAAATCTCGACAGTGAAATTGTCATTTGCTGAGCTAAATAATGCTTTGGAACAAAATCTGTAAGTGTCGATGGCCAGCCATGGACAGAAATCACCCACAAGATTTGTTGTTTTTGGACTTCCCATGGGTTTGGAATGCCCGATCTACTGGTGGAGATTAATCGCAGAATTGAACAAGGGGAAAATGATGGCAAATGTTTCGTTGCTGTCAATCGAACATATCGCTATTCCCTTTAAGGGCCCAGATGCAAAAAAACCTATTGTTGGTAAAATGTCTCAGCAACATGCAAGCTCTTGGGTCTCTGGCCCAAACCATTGTCGGGTTTTTGTCTGGATGCCACCGACACAACAGGCTTTTGAACTTCCTGGAGCGATAGCGGAGAGAGTGCAACGGAGCACAAATGCTGCAAGTAAACCTTACGTCTTGATCTATGTGCTATAGGTCCTAGATGGTCCTAGTACAGGTATTCGAAAAATTGCAATGGCACCCACTCTCCTCTCCGAAACTCACCCGGAGGCCGACCATAATTTTGAGCACTCAGGCGGGGCCTCATCCTCTCCGGTGGGGAGGGATCGCGCGCAACCTCGCGGAGCAAATCTGAAGCCTGGCAAAGTCTGACATGGGCAAAACATCAAAAGGAGAGATCAATGACTCAATGATATATGTTTTATTTTGTTCTCACAATTGTAAACAATAAATATTTTGACGCGGGCTTCGCGGACACCCTTGATGTGGACCTGTCAGACTGGGCCATGATTTGATCCAATTTGAGAGGGACCTAATTGGGTTCCATGTTGAATGCAACTACGGGCCCAGAAACACAACAGGAACCCCAAAGAGCGATGTAAAATTTGTGCCAACGCGTCCTAGCCGTGTTTCATGAAGTTTCACCAGCGATGCGATGCCTCACAGTCGATGCGCAACAGGTCACATTCGTCCTTTGGAAAGCGCACTTCAAAAAGGTGCAATTGTTCAACTACACTGACAAGTCCAACCTGTATACCTTCCTTACCTTGCTGCAAGAAATGTATCAACGATTGACTTACAACTGCCGAAATTAAAACACGCCACTGTTGATGTCTCTCCTTGCACTTGGATAAGTTCATGCGCAGTTGCTGCAGCTGCTCGGCGAGCCTGGCCCTAAGCAGAAAGCCATGAATCCGACGTGTGCGTGTATAAATATACATTTCCTCGTGTATATGTGTGTGTGCGCAAATATTATGAAATATATGCATGCGTAACATCGAATAGCATGGCACGGCATGGCATAGCATTTCACATGTGAGGACTGTCATGCCCTGGCCCTTTCAAGCTTGACATCGCACTTTTGCACATTGAACTTGAAACATCACATCACATGTTTTTTCCCCCTGCCTGGTCTGAGCATCAAGAACGGGGTCTTTTGCTTCGAAGCCGCCCATCTCCTGACATCGATCATACTGGAAGCAGTTCAATCTGAAACGAGTCAAGACATCAAAACCTGGTACCAGCCACAGGTGTTTGATCTAAAGATTCATTCCTCACTCTGCATGTGTCACAGCGCGGATTTTCCACAAAAGTCATAAAATCACCGATGTTCAACCCACTGTCTGGCTGTTGCCTTCTCCGGTGCATCTTCCTGGCAGTTCATTGCCAACACCACAGTCCAGTGTGGCAGGAGGTTGCAAAGCAGTTTGATAGTACAGCCCTAATTCACCTGCACATCATTCGCTCTGTGGTTCCTACTTCACAGTGTTTGATTGTCAAATTGGGGCTCACAAACATCGCAAAATCTCCTGTTCCGTGCAAGTTTTGTTTTCTTTAGGTGCCGTGGGTGTGAAAATGGCCACAAATTTCAGAGTTCCGAGTCCTGAAGGGTCTGTGTAGTTTTGGTGATATCTCAATAAAGTTGTTATGTTTTTTCCAATGATTCGTGCAAAAATAGGGATAACACCGATAACACCATCATGGGTTTCCCCCGCTCGAAATACAGAATAAACTTCTGAATCTTGGGGCAACACCTCCATTTGGCATCATTTGGGCATGTTTCTTAACTTGGGTGCCCACAAAAATGTGTAGAGATACATAGTGATACATATGTATGTGTATGCAGTCCAGTAGATACACAATAAGAATGAACTACCAGTACCATGGTTTCCATTAATTACTTCCTGCCCTCGGACGTGTCCACCTTCCATGACGTGCGACTAGCCGCCACAGGCGGCGCATGGACCACCGGGCGCGGTGCAGCAAGGGAGTCGGGCATCGGCCTCTCTGGGCCTTTCAACCAGATTTGGATGTTGTCAATTGGGGTCCCAAGAGAAACAGGAAACAAATGGATACTAGTATAGTATAACTGTATAACACAATTCGTCAACTGGGACCATCATTCCAAATTAGTTGGAATCTTACTTTTTCAATCTTTTTCATAGAATTGGATTACTCAAAAAATGTGAACCCTTGAAGAATGGGACACATCATCTCAGGTAGGATGGAAAACGTTCATGATTCATGACCAATCATTCCGTTCGAAACTGGGTGATATGAGTCAGATGAACTCCCCTGATATCTCATGGATTCATGGATGTCTTTCATGGGATACTGGGATATTTCATGGGATAGGTCATGGGATATGTCATGCAATGTACATGCAAGGTACATGCAAGGTACTACAAGTACCTAGTTGACCTAGTTGACCTAGTTGCTGGATCCACCGATCCAACCCCTTAAAAAAGCCACTTGGGATCGTCAAGTTGTCCACTCCGTCCGGAGATCTTGCTGCCTGGGGAAAATTTGGAGATAATCCGCGAGTCGCTTTGCTGCATCGACAATTCCTGGGCTGTGTCCGCAATTTGGGGGACACCCTCAATCTACTGCCATTTTCATGAGGGAAATTGATGCTAATTTTTCCAGATCTATTTATATGGCGTTTCTTAGGGTTGATTTAGGCTGTGGAAGAAAAAAAGCAGGGAAAAGCAGAGAAGCAAAGAAGCAGGGAAAGGCAGGCAAGAAGAAAACAGAAATCCAAAAAGACAAAACGGAACGGATATATAACTTATATAACCCTGCTTTTGGAAGTGAACAGGCCGCTGTCTTGGCACCGCCGCGTTTTGCCCTGGCCTTCGTTCTCATCTCCAACGTGTCCATTGAGGTGGTGCCTCAAACGACTTAATCTGGAGCTCTGCTGAAACTCCGCTTGGTCGGGAATGCCACAAATAGCACGACATACATAAACTCTGAGGCCTGTGCCGGGCACAATATCTCCGCGGACGCCATGAAACAACCCTGACAAGGCATCGTGGCACACGTTGATATGGTCAAGATAGATCAAGCTGACAACCGTGGCCTCCGCCGTGCTTGGTCTGGCGGTGTGCAACCTCATGGCTACGCGAAAAAGGATCCATGAATACCGAAACGCAAACAAGAGCCAAGCGGAGCCCTTACAGTACTATAGGAACCACCACTTTGAGCTTTCAGCCATCGCACTTAGTGGATGCTGACAACCCTCGAGCGGCTGTCACATCATATCACATCATGTCACACTTGGGTCCCGGGACCTTCTTTGAAGGCGTCTCTGGCTCCACAAACTGAGTCATCACGGTTAGAACTCGAAACCAGTTGATACCATGTTTTTGTGCACCAGTCTGCCCAGCCTCGGTTTCGCTCTCGTCCTCCTCCAAGTTTTTGACATCGGATTATTCTCACAGTTCTGGTAACTGAGACGAAAGAGAAAAGCTTAAAAAAAAACAAAGCATATGTGTATGCATATAGCATATGTATATCACAGCACACGGTTTGAACGCGGTAAAGATGTTAATGCAAAACGGCAGTCCTCTACCATGCAGCAGTTACCCATCTTGGGCACCTCAAAGCACCTGGTCGTGAAGGATGTGCCGAAATTCTTCCGATTGACAGCTGAAATCCGATGCACGTGATTTTGAAACAAATGCAGGAATGCAAAGATGTGCTCGAACCGACTCAAGTCAAATCATGCCTGCTGCAAGCCAAGGTTTCTCCGGTTTTGGAACTGAAGCTCTAAATAGCCACTCGCTGTAGCTCAGCAAGAAACGTTTGTGTATCATTCTCTGAGCGGGTCCATCTACCCCGCATATATACATATTGTGCTTGCTACTTCGAAATTATACTATGTACCTGTACGTTGGTCTGGCTGTATGATGAAGCTTATGCGTCACTGCTTTGGGCAAGCTAAAGCTGCAGAATACTCAAGATGCGATTATCTTGATGCTTGTGGTGGTTTGGCTTCTGACACGCGTTAGAAACTACTGTGTTGATATTCCAAGAGTGCACAGGAACTATTTTTTGGCACCAGTTTGGCTGTCGGAACCGTCATCGCCAGGTCTTCGACGCCTTAAACATGGTGGACGTTTGAAGACGAACCGATGCTTAGAACTAGTTGGAAAACGAGCTGCAGCACTGTGCATGTTTTGATTAAATGTGCAGCGAACTTCAGCATTTAGTAGCAGGGTGCTCACTAAAGAACGGTTGGGGCAAATGAAAACTGCAACAAGAGGCCATTGGAAGATAAGCCAATGGGACTGCATCTCGTGTGGGCACTCATGCTGAACGAAAGTGAATTTGAAGAATGGGAATGCATACTCATGGATTGGTGGAGTCAAAAGCATGTCTCACATCTAGGCTTCCAACAAGCAATAGCCATGATCAGTAGCTTGATGGCCACATGTTTTGGAGCAGTCCAGCCTCAGCATTCAAAACCTCTGGTCCGGTTTCACTAAATCTATCAAGAAACACTCCGTCCAACGAATTGAATCTCTCCATCTCTCAAAAATGCCATGTCCCAAACGATCCGGAACATTACTCATGTCAAGCAGTTCAGGTCAAGTGTTTGAAAGAAAGACCCAGTTGTTACCAGTTGTTGAAAGAAAGACACAGTTCAGGTCCAGTGTAAAAAACACGGAGCAGCTCAGTCTTAGGGTCAATATCGAGTGTTCAGCATTTGATTTCACGATTTGCCGAACCATACGCTGCTGAACTGAACAAAAGCCAAGCTACCATGCCATCTGCAAAGTCTGAAGCTGACTGCAAGGCCGTGTCACCTGTCAACACGAGGCAAAGGGTGTGAGAACAAGATCTGACCTGATTGGCATTTGTTGATGTCTTGTATCGATACTGTACACACTGTGCACCCATGCGCAACAACACAAGAGATTGCACCCGAGATGGCAGTGTTCAAATTACATCAAATTTCCCAGATCCGACCCGGGAGAACCTGGAAAGTCAGAAGTATTTGGGTGTATTGGATGTATTTAAGATTGGATTTGAATCCATTATGAGGGTCTCGGTACTACTCGGTAGTGCTCAGTACCGAAATTTAACCAAGCAGCATCGAACCTCCGCAGCACCAGGCCCGAATGGGACCCAAGAGGGGTGTCAATGATTTGTCAAGTAAAACTTGATATATTTTGACATGTTTGGGGCTCAGGATTCCTTAAGGATGGTTAGGGTGATTGCAGCTGATCATGGCTGGACAACTCTTGAGCCTAGCGGCTGAATTCAAGCATCTGCAAAGTCAGCTTCAAATCCAAAAGGGACCAAGGATCATATGCCAAATGCCCAATGTGTGGGATGATATGCTGTCCTGAGGTGACCACCTGTATCCGATGGTAGTCGGACCAAACTTGAGCTCTCAAGTCTATATGCTCAATTATTTTCAGTTATTTTCTATTGGGTGAGCTGATCCAAATTCGGTTTCCACCATGCCATCTTGGAAACCGACATCCATACCAACGGATGGCCAAATGCCAGCGTTTCAACTCATTTCAAGCAAATCTGATATGCAACGGCTGGATTTGATCTTAATAAACACCCATTCGGTTTTTCCGTCTCTGGCGTTCTCAGTTTATGCAGGGAAAAGCCGTGGGCAGTCTCTGCATGCGCCTTCGAAGCTCCAAGAGAGTGGCCAAGATGGATGTCACAGAGGAAAGCCGGACATGCGTATACAACAAGCATGACTTCCACATCAGCACAGTCACCTCTATATAGAGACAAGATACGAATCGATAAAGAACCCATTCACTCACTACATCTTTGCCTCGTCTCCTTCGGAGACCATTCCAATGAGAGTCTCAAACCTCAATTCCAACTGACATAAAAACGCGTTTCCGGTTCCACTGATGAAAGTGGTCCATGCACATCAACGCTCCACCAACATGTATACCCGGGAATCATAATGCTGAAGACAAAATGTGGTTTCGAGAAAACATCTCCCACAACTGCCAAGGCACGGGTGGTGGCCTATGACATCGGCGAAATTCCCTGGATCGTGCTGGAACAAGAATTCAAGGGAACCCATGCAAAGCGGGATGGCATGGAATCCAAAATCTGTCCAGATGATTGCTTTCAAGAAGGTACAAAACAATGAAGGATGTGTGCGTAGATCTCTAGCATATCTTCAGGAATGCATGAACTGCTTGGGGCAACGTAAAATGAGGCAATGAGGCATCTTCCATGCAGGGCTACAAGCTACATTCGCATCAAAACTGCCAGCATAGGATACAACCAATGAGAGGAAAAAAACAAACATTTACTTTTCTTGGGAGGATCGGAAAGGAACTGGATGACCCCAGCTTCAGCCCCACGTTCCGCTGGCGCCTGGGTCTCTGCCTCAACACCGTCCACGGGACCTTAGAGCGCCAAGCGACTCCCCAAAAATAATTGAAACACATTTTTGCACCCCCGCCTCACAATGTGATGAATTTATCTTGTTCTTCGGGCGATTCCACTGAAAGAGACTTTTGTACCAGCTGGCATTTCCCAAATGTTCAGGGGAGCCTGTCGTTTGAAAAGGCTATGCAAGGTCAATATAATTGGGTGGGGTATGCTCAGCCACTGCATTCTGCTGATCTTCCTGGCCAGCCCCAGGAGACCATTTTCAAACAGGCCATGTGGCCAGAAGCATCGGAAATAAAGCTATAGAATAGGCCGGTAGAGACATTTCGGTCATTTTCTGCCACTTTCTGCCCGTGAAATCCAAAGTGCCAAGACCAGCTCGACAATGAATTTACAATCATTTTGCCACTTAGTAGATAGGCGATAGATAGATGCTAGATATGGGATGATGGGCGCAATCCCACAAAGGTGTTCGATTAAAATCAATTTTGCGGTCGTGAGGTGCTACCAAAATCCGAAGGCACCTGGGGGTTCGAAATAATCAATTCCGCACCCAAATCCCAGTCCAGCAACATAGTCGATAGTTTTTTGCGATGTAGGTGAGGCCTTTTTCCTGCATCAGATTGTGGGACAGCATCCAGGATCCCTGAGTTTGCTTTGGGTTCATGTGGTTGAAGTTTACCGCAATGGGGTCAGTACCTCGCTTACACCTACTTTTTGGCTCGCTGAAGCCTACGTCACAGATATAATATGAGGATATATGCATATACAGGGATATATTCTATATACATATATTATTCTATATAATGACATGATTTTGCTAGACTTGCACAGGTGGACTATAGATGCTTATTGGACTATGGATTCACCCGAGGTCAACAAAATCCCCTGTGTCCCTGTCGTCCCCAAGTCCCCGGTCCCCACCCCTAGAAATAAACCCTAAAGGTGTGTACCCAATGAAACCTAGATCGTCCGTTGCCCTCAAGGTTACCTAAGTTAATGGTCAAGCACTCACCAAGGAAAGCCCAGGGCCTCCAGCCACTGCTCTTTCAAACATGTGTCTTTGTCCTGTTCCACGGGTCAGGTAGTCACACCTAGGTAATAGACCCCTTATATATATGCATATATATATAAACTATACACTGCATATATATATATACAAATATATGGCAACCAAAGAAGCAATCATCAAACTTTCTACATGGTATCCACTAAAAACATACAGTGGGTGGAAGAAATCCTGCACCAGTTGCGAACTCTTGGTAACTATGAAACAGTGAAAAAAATTGGATTACAACGGGATAAACCATCTACCAACTGGTGTAGGATTTCTTCCATCCACAGTAGCTTTTGCAGCAACTATGATAACTAGACGACGGATGGCCCGAGAGCGTAGAGGAGCAGGGTCTTCTCTTCTTAGTATGGAGACACCATATTAGAAACAATATATTAAAGATGTGTTATAGGCAGTCGAGAAGAGGAGTATTAAGACAAAATAGTAGAAGTGCAAGACAATAGTTTGCATCGCAAACACTTTTACACACAGAAGCTTTTACACACAAAAGCTTTCACACACAGAAGCTTTTACAGACAGACACTTTCACACACAGACCCTTTTACGCACAGACGCTTGTACACACAAAAGCTTTTACACACAGAAGCTTTTACACACAGACGCTTTTACACACAGACGCTTTTACACGCAAAAGCTTTTACCCACAGAAGCTTTTACACACAGAAGCGTTTACACACAAAAGCTTTCACACACAGAAGCTTTTACAGACAGACACTTTCACACACAGACCCATTTACACACAGACGCTTGTACACACAAAAGTTTGTACACACAGAAGCTTTTACACAGACGCTTTTACACACAAAGCTTTTACCCACAGGAGCTTTTACATACAGAAGCTTTTACATACAGAAGCTTTTACACGCAGACGCTTTTACACAGACACTTTTACACACAGACACTTTTACACACAGACACTTTTACACACAGACCCTTTTACACACAGGAGCTGCTTTTACACACAAACGCTTTTACACACAGAAGCTTTTACACATAGACGCTTTTACACACAGGCACTTTTACACACAAACACTTTTACACACAAACACTTTTACACACAGACGCTTTTACACGCAGACGCTTTTACACACAGAAGCTTTTACACACAGACGCTTTTACACACAGACGCTTTTACACACAGACACGTCCGGCACAAGTAAAGTCGCAATTTTTCCTCAGTTTTTGCGCATCGACCCTCATTTCGTGCGAAAGGGTTGCTCCAGCACACGAAAAATCGCAATTTTACCTCAGTTTTTGACGATCGACCCTCATGTCGTGCGAAAGGGTTGCTCCGGCACAAGTAAAATCGCAATTTTTCGTCAGTTTTTGACGATCGACCCTCATTTCGTGCGAAAGGGTTGCTCCGGCACAAGTAAAATCGCAATTTTTCCTCAGTTTTTGACGATCGACCCTTATTTCGTGCGAAAGGGTTGCTCCAGCACACGAAAAATCGCAATTTTTCCCAGTTTTTGACGATCGCCCCTCATTTCGTGCGAAAGGGTTGCTCCGGCACAAGTAAAATCGCAATTTTTCGTCAGTTTTTGACGATCGACCCTCATTTCGTGCGAAAGGGTTGCTCCGGCACAAGTAAAATCGCAATTTTTCCTCAGTTTTTGACGATCGACCCTCATTTCGTGCGAAAGGGTTGCTCCGGCACAAGTAAATCGCAATTTTTCCTCAGTTTTTGACGATCGACCCTCATTTCGTGCGAAAGGGTTG